AGCAAAAAAAACAGTTAGGTGATATCAGGCCTCCTATATGGCAGTGAATGCTGGACAATCTCCTCAAAGGTACTTGAAACAACAGAAATACTGTTATACAGAAGATGCCGAGCATGAAGCGAATAGGTGAGCAACAATGAAGTTTTAGAGAAAATGGGAACAAAAAGGAACACTTAACATCAAGAGACAGTTGAAATTTCTAGGAAACATATCGAGGAAAAAGGCCTTGGAAAATCTGATTCTCACAGGACAGAGGAAAAAACAATGCAAAACATTAAGTGAGATTGGGTAAATAGATGGCAGAAAAAGGTGTAAGAAAAATGATGAAAAAGACAAAACTTATTCAGAGTTAGAAAGGGTAGGAAATTGTGGAGAGCCATGATTGCCTACGTCCTGAAGGGACAGCATATAAAAGAGAGAGAGAGGAGGAAAAAGGTGTAAAAAAAATGATGAAAAAGACAAAACTTATTCAGAGTTAGAAAGGGTAGGAAATTGTGGAGAGCCATGATTGCCTACGTCCTGAAGGGACAGCATATAAAAGAGAGAGAGAGAGAGAGAGAGAGAGAGAGAGAGAGGAGGACAGGGACAAAAAAAAAAAAGGGGGAGAGACACAGAGAGAGACAGAAAAAGAAAGACAGAGAGAGAGAAAAAGACAAGGGCAAAAACGAAAAACAGACATTAAGTGCTCATCTTTTAAACAGATTTGAAACAAAAACACTTCATCTTAGTTATATTCCAGTCTGTGTTTTACAGCCGGATCCATTTCTAGTGGAAACTGTTGAAGATCTATTGGTCGTTGCGCGCATGTTAATTCATTCAAACAAACATAATCTTAGACCACTATCTTAGCCCAACCCTTCCTTCAACTTTATGTATTCTCTCCTCCCTGGCAAGATAAACTCATTAGCAATTCTAGATCTGAACCATAGTGATCCTTCCATTTCCCCCAAATTAACAAAAGTCTTAAAACGACCAATACGTTTGTAGCTTCCTGTTATTATCATAACCCTTATCCACTTAAGCAAATGCAGATATTTACATTACTAATGATTTGCCAGATTGACTTGCATCTTCTTTTCATGCAAACCAATTAACACTTCTATTTTAAAACTAACTTGAGCATCATTTATCTGCCAGTGATATAAAGAAACAAAGAAAAACACGTGCTAATTAGAACAATATTCTGAGAAGAAAAAAAAAAAAAATAAAAAAAAAAAAAATTCTAAAAAAAGGCTTTCTGGATATTAGCCACTTACACATTTAAGCAGTCTTTAAATGACCATAAAAGAAATTGATATTGCAACTGGTGGCACAACTATTTAGTTTTTAATCTGAATGACCTATAAACACATACACACACACACACAAAACACACACACACAAACCCAAAAAAAAAAGAAACACAAAAACCCAAAAAAAAAAAAAAAAAAAAAAAAGAAAAAAGGGCAAAAAAAAAAAAAAAAAAAAAAAAAAAAAAAAAAAAAAAAAAAAAAAAAAGAAAAAAGGGCAAAAAAGAAAAAAAAAAAGAAAAAAAGAAAAAGGGCAAAAAAAAAAGAAAAAGAGAAAAGGGCAAAAAAGAAAAAGAAAAAGAGAAAAGGGCAAAAAAGAAAAAGAAAAAGAGAAAAGGGCAAAAAAAAAAGAAAAAAAAAAAAAAGAAAAAGAAAAAAGAAAAAGAGAAAAGGGCAAAAAAGAAAAAAGAAAAAAGAAAAAGGGCAAAAAAGAAAAAGAAAAATAGAAAGGGGCAAAGAAGAGGGCAAAATAGAAGAGGGCAAAATAGAAGAAAACAACACAGAAAAAGAAGAAAACAACAAGAAAAAAAAAAGAAGAAAACAAAAATAACAAAAAAATACAAGCCACTAAAACCCATTCTCATGTGTGTTTGAATGAAATTAGAGGCAGCGATAACCTGAGCTCAATTCGAGGCAGTGAATAATACTCCAAAGACGGAAAAATTACATCGAGAACTTTTCTACGATGAAAAAGGGAAACTGCAATACGCAAAAACATGGAAAGACCTGAAATATTAAAGTTTGAAGTCTGATCAGAGCTGGTCAAGATGTACAAAGCAACTGGACCAGAAAAGAACGTAATGGCGATACTATCAGTCTTAAATGATTTCAGAATCGACAAGATAAAGTAAATAAGTGGCATATACGACAGTGGCAACATACCGGAACACCTTAGTAGATCCATCTTTACAGCGCTGTCTAAGAAGCCAGTTGAAAACGAATGCAAGCTCCATCAGACAATCGGGTTAATGGGTCATATACCTAAGATTATCAAGATTCTGATGAATAGAGCACGTGGCAAAAATAGGATGGGAATGTGGCAAGAACAATGTGGTTTCGTTAAAGATACTGGAACAAGAAATGTAATATTTGCTAAATCCGAATAATGAATACAAAGGAAAAAGGACGCAAAAATATTTGATTAGGTATGACGCAAAGATTTATTTGAACATCTAGGAAAACTGGAAAATATATTAGAATTATCCAGAAAATGTATTGAGAGCAAGCCGTATGTATACAGATAAAAAAAAATGGATTAAGTACACACAAATAGAAAGGGGCGCAAGACAACGGTACGTCTTAACCCATAGTGATGTAATCCTAAGAGAACTAGTAGTCCTATCAGGATTTATTATTGGCGGACACAATCTTAATATAAACAGATAACACGCAAGAACTACTAGTAAAAAGAAAGAACGAAAGGACTATTAATTATCGCGGTCCGCATCCGATCACCATCTCTATTTCCTTTCTCCATTCTGGTGGCAGTCGCAGAAATGGCTGTAAAGGCCCAGCCTACTGCTGAAGAGTAGAGTTTAACGCCTCGTGAATTTGATTCTGCGCGACGGAGAAGCATACGCACATGGCCAAAAGGCCTTCACTCGCGGCTTAAAGGGGATTGAGACAGGCGAGATCTGAGAAAATGGTTGCATCAGGCTGTCGGATGCTTGGTCTGTCAAGGTCCGCCTTGGCTGTTCCAGCCCGACTGGCGCTGCGTTCTCCCGCCGGTTTAATCGTTTGAGAACGTGTACATCTTTGCCTATTCCGCTTCGATTAATTGTAACAGGACAATGCATAGTTGTCAGCAACAGAAACAAACAATCGAGCTCCAAAATGGAGATGCCAAGCAAATACAGAAATATATCTGGGAAGTGTTTAAACGAACGACAAAGAATGAGAAATCCGAGGGCTCAGTTGAATAACGAAAGATGCCTTCCGAAAGCACATTTAATATATATATATATAAAATATAGGGATATATATACTTGTTTGAAAAGAGGGTTGAAATGCTATGTAATATCAATCTTCTTACATGGCAATGTATACTGGACAATCTTCCCACATATAAAGAAAGGTTGTGGCAAAAAGTAATGTGGTTCTACAGAAAGATGCCGAAAATACCATTGCCGGAGCGCGTGAACGACAAGGAAATCTCAAGGAAAAAGGGAAACGAAAATGACACTTTCTTTTAATGTGCCATGTCCTTTCCGGGCGTAGGCGATCATGGCCCTCCACCTCCCTTTATCCCTTACAGCTCTCAGCAAGTTCTTTCCCTCTGCTTTCTCCCTCAGACCACGTTGTCATCCACCTGCTCAAGCTCGCCAGGTATGTCACGCGCTGATTTCCCTTGTCTCTTCTCCCCTCTACTCGACCCGTGAATATCAGATTCTCATACCCTCCTTTCCCATGTGTCCCAGAAACTTCAGCTGCCTCTTCCTGGTGTTAAGTATAAGCCTTCCCCTTGTTTGCATCCTCTCTAAGACCTCATCATTGCTCACACGCTCGGTCCATGATATCCTTAGTATCCTTCTGTAGAACCACATCTCCGTCGCCTCAAGTCTCTTCATCTTTGAGGAAATCGTCCAACATTCGCTGCCGTAAAGAAGGACAGATGTCACGTAACAGCTGAGTATTCTTTTCTTCGTTGTTTTCCCTTGTCTCTCTTTCCCTCTATTCGACCTGTGAGTATCAGATTCTCCAGGCCCTCCTTCCTCATTATGTGTCCCAGAAACTTCAGCTGCCTCTTCCTGATGTTAACCATAAGCCGCCTTCTTGTTTGCAACCTCTCTAAGACCTCGGTCCATGATATTCTCAGCATCCTTCTGTAGAACCACATCTCTGTCGCCTAGAGTCTCTTCTTCATCTTTGAGGAAATCGTCCAACATTCGCTGCCGTAAAGGAGGACAGATGTCACGTAACAACTCAGTTTGTCTCTCTTTTCCTTTATTCATGAATCAGTTCTCAGGACTCTTACTTCATGAAGTTTTTTACTATTTATGTCCCCAAAGAAAATGACACACAGAATCAGAAATACTGAGTTGGAGTTTTTGGGACACAATGTGGAAAGGGGATTCAAAGAATTTGTCATTCACAGGACATATCGAAGGTAAAACGGGCAGAGGTTTGTATAAATTAATGACAGAAGAGAGATTCGAGTGATTGGAGACAAACATTATTTATTGCTACAATGGATAGTAAGTTGTCCAGACCATGATCGCTTACGTCCTGAAGAAACACAGCATATTATTAATGTCGTTTATGCATTCAGATTTAGGTAAGTTACCTTTTTCGCTTCAAGATACTTATTTACTTATTTTCACCCCTGGATGAAAGAATCAACAATGGTGAAATACAAGAAGCAATATAAAGATATTCTGCATGGCCTAAAAACAGCAGCAGCTCACGTTTGCCGCCAAAACTGAACACGCGAATTTGCCCAAACCCCAGATGGATACATTGATCGATTGACTCGTTTTCTAAGGCTTATCAACCTTTTCCAGGTTATTTAAAACCAGAAAATATTTTAGATTGTAAGAATTGATTTTTAGGGGGGGGATATAATGATTTAGTGATGAAAATTACTAATTAACCCATAGCTAACGGGGAGAAGAAGGATCCATACCTTTACCAAGGGTATTTACGCATAGGTGAATATAACGAACCCAATTGGAACTCTGTTCCCCAATTAACAATTCAGTCATTATTCCTTAGAGCACCTGGTATTCTCAAGTGGTCACCAATCTAGGTATTGACTAGGCTCGACGTTGCTTAACTTCAGTGACCATTCGGGAACCGGCGTTTCAACGTGATGTGGCCGTAAGCCTAAATGGATACACAGCAGCTAAATGATAACGTGTTCAGAATGACTTTTCAAGCTCTAACCTTTCGTACTTAAATATCATTTATTAGACGATGAAACTACAGAACGTTCGCTTTCCGACCATGGGACCTGGGTTCGAATCTCACCATGGTCAATTTGTCAGGAAAGTGACTTCTTGATGTTATCAGTCTGGAGGAGGTGATCTTTTGGTGGCTGAAAAACCATACCATGGGTTTACCCAAGCCATCACAAGTCATCATGACCCAAGCGTGCGGGTCTTGTTCAGTCTGTTGATCACACCAGATAGTGCGTTCTCTCCCAAGAACTAAGATCCGCAGTTAGTTGCAGTATAAACTACAGGCGTCCGTTGAACAAGCACAAATGTGTTTGAGCATGCGTCTCGAATTGGTATTGGCTACCCGCCCTAGTAGACATGGCTAGCCACTCGTATCCGAAAAAAAAAAAAAAAAAAAAAAAAAAAACAAACAAAAAAAAAAACAAAAACAAACAAAAAAAAAACAAAAAAACAAACAAACAAAAAACAAACAAAACAAAAAACAAAAAAAAAAAAAAAACAAAAAAAAAAAAAAAAAAAAAAAAAAAAAAAAAAAAAAAAAAAAAAAAAAACAAACAAACAAAAAAAAAAAAAACAAACAAAAAAAAAAAACAAACAAACAAACAAAAAACAAACAAAAAAAAAAAACAAAACAAAAAACAAAAAACAAAACAAAAAAACAAAAAAAAAAAAAAAAAACAAACAAAAAAAAAAAAAAAAACAAAAAACAAACAAACAAAAAAACAAAAACAAAAAAAAAAAAAACAAAAAACAAAAAAACAAAAACCAAACAAAAAAAAAAAAAAAAAAATAAAAGAAATTAAAAAAAAACTGTCTGGAAGTACATTATTTTGTATACTTTTTATTGTTGAATAAATGATTTCGTCATATAAATTCATGCTCGTTTGTTGGAGATACACGCCTGGGAGACGAGTCCCGCTATAACCGACAAAGTAATATTTGTTATTGGTAAAAGAATTTTCAGAATTTGCATCCTGAAAACTAAGAATTAAGACCACGTGAAAAATAATGAAAAATGACGCCATTTGCTGCATTCATCACGTTCCATACAATCATTAAGGTAATATTTAATGGGCTGGTTGAGTTTGAGACATTTAGGTGAAACAGAAATAAGAGTTTGACACACTTTAATCATCAGAAACCTATGTATTTAAAGCTTTCTTAAAAATGCCATCTTATGGTATTTTACCATTACTGAAAACTAATGTTGGTTTCTTCTGCTTAAAATTTAGACACTATCTTTGCATCGGACAGATCAAGATGCTCATCACAATATTGAAACTAATAAGGCTACTATATTTTGAATAGAATCTCTGCAAAATTAGTACAAAATCATGCCGGTAAAAATTGTTAAAATAGTCAATGCGTGTGTGCACTCGTTTATAAGCAGACTTGATGTATAGTGTGACCTCTAAATTTTCTTTGTATGATTTTTAAGCGCCCCAGAAAGAAAATTGCTTATGTATAGCGCAACCGGTCAGCGAAAAGTCATGATTTTTAACCGCTCCAAAAATGTATAGTTTGACCCCTATTTTTTGCGTAAAACAAATAAATAAAATAAAACATGAAATAAAAACTGATTAAAAAAAAAAAATCGCCCTATACTAGAGTATTATACGATATATAAAAGACTTTGTATATTCGCTGTTAGTAACATTTCAGTCTATCCATTTCTCGCCTTTTCTCACGTTAATCGTCGAGAAAAGGATTTATTTTAAGGCAAGGAAAAGATGCGACAAAAAGAAGGCATTAATTTGGCAACCAGGCCAATCCATTTAAGCAACAAGTACCCAAGGGATCCCAAATTATACTCGCGAAGAATTACCCAACGCCTAATTTGCTAAGTAAAGGCGGCTCACATTTTGTATAAAAAGGAGTGGGAGAGGGAAGAAACGTCAGATTCAAGTAACATAAGCTATAATAAAAAATTAGGTAGAGATCTATTATAGCTGCCCATGTCTTAAGCAAAGGACACACATAACTTTTGGGATTAAGTCCAGATAACTGACAGCGAGCATCGTTGGGGAGTGACGAAATTGAAAGAGGCGGTATATATCGGCCAAATGAACAAATCACAAAATAGATGTTGGGACCCCGCTTACGGAGAATCACATCGGGATTGTATCCCGAACTCTGCTGAAATGAATGGGTCCAGTCGGTACATGAAAAACCATTTTTTTTTTTTTTTTGGTAGCCATTTCATTTTCTTTTATTGAAGACAAAAAAATAGTTACATTTTCCCCCTTGACGGAATCCAAAAGAAGGGTAACGCCGGGATCTTGTAAGATGAACAGCGACTACACGAATGTGGCTGGCTGGCTGACATACATGCATGCATGCATGCATACAGCTTAAAAGCTGCTCTATCGAACAGCATTTAAGCTAGCTCCTGTTGGGGGCTCTTGATTGGCCTGCGGTTTGTTCAGAAGTTTGAGAGGCGCTAAGTCTTTGCATGTTCTCAGCATTGGAAGCTCTCCTGGCTGCCGTATGATCTAGGTTTGCATTTGCACGGGGCTTTCTTTTCCTCGTTGCAGACTTGGCTCTTTTGATTGCAATCAGGTCCTTTGTTGGCAGAGATTTTTTTTTGCGAGGCATACTACTGACGTATATGATAGACAACAAACTATAGAAGAACTCAAAATTGATCGCTGCATTTATGTATTGCATTAATATTTAAACTTACCTTTTAAAAGTAAATCGATAATTCTTTTGCCGCCACTTAATTTAAAGACAATTTGATGTGCGTAGGTCCTTACTTTACGTACAAACAATTATTTTTATTTCATGGATGACTTTCGCAATTAATTTCGATTATTCCCAAATTTATTTCCAAGTTTTAAAAATTGTTATATATATATATATATATATATATATAACGTAATTAAAATAAATGTTTACCTAATCGATATAATTATTGACTCGTTAATGAGACAAAAGTCAACTATCCAAATCAGTACATAAAGTTAAGATTATCGAAGCATTTTTATTGCAAACATTATTGAAATACAGTGTCAAGGTCATTTGTTAGATAAGTGTTAAATTACATTTGATTATTTGAAGAATGTGTTAAAACAATTTTAGTTTACGTTTCGGGAAATACCGAAGACTTTATCCCCTTAAAAACTAAAGAAAAAAGTAATTGCAAGTTTTTTTTAGAACATATTTTGAACCCCATTCCCAGAGTTCTGACCTTTTGTTAGACAAGGTTAAACTATCAGAATTCAGAAGATCTTCCGGTTACGTCGGACCCGACGTACGGCGTTTTGTGGTTACGGCGCCATCTCCCATAATACAATACGTCGTCACGCGGCGCTATATCAAGTTGACGGCATTGTTTCTTCACCGGCTGTACACCATATTGGGTCGTGCCACATTCGCTATCTCTCGTTTGCGTCTTGGGGGGGGGGGATCATTATGGCTCCCAGGCGTAAGATAGACTCGGAGGTGAGATCAGACCTACATCGTAAATCAGGTTACGTCGCGTCGTAGGAACCGACGTAAGTCGAAGACCCCCTGTATTTATTTCCGTTTCAAAAATGACTAAAAGAGGGAGGGGTCTTTTCCATAGTACAATAATTTAAACTTTCTTCTGTGTCATGTCACTTCAGGACGTTGGCGATCATGGCTTATTAATGTTTCTATTCCAAATTCTTTTACACCCGGTAACCCTCTTGTGTCTTAGTGGCTTTACTGCCTTGCCTGGGGTGAAATTAAGATTATATATATATATATATATATATATATATATATATATATATATATTAAATAAATACAGTCTTATCTCTTCTAAACTGTTCTGACATCCATTTACCAAAGTTCGCTAGGTAAGTTATACTTTGTTTCCTTCTTAACTTTAATCTTTTCCGTGAGTATCAAATTTTCCAGGCCTTCTTTCCTCATTACGTAGCCTAGAAATTTCAACTCTTCCTGATTAGTACGTGTCCTTTGTTTCCATTTTCTCTAAAACTTCGTCTTTGCTCACATGTTCGGTCCATGTTATTCTCAGCATCCTTGCAATTGATATTTGCTCCTTTCTTCTAATTTTCATGCACTCACTTCTGTAGGAGTTCTTGTAGCTTCCCCTCTCTTATCTGCTATCAACACTGTGTCATATACATATCAGATGTTAAGATGGTAACCGCCAATGACGCTCTCGCTGAGATTACAACTCCAGTCTCTTTTTGCCTCAAGGAATACAGATTAACAGCCAACTGCTTTAACGGCTAAGTGACTCGAACTTGTCGGCTTTACAGTAGATCTAGTCCAACGTATAACTCCCTCTCTCATATATATCTGTTCATCTGTATTCCTCGAGGCAATGGAACCAGAGTTCGAATCTCAGCGAGGGCGTTATATATATCTATATATACTAAAAGTAATAATACAATATGGTACTCCGTATGTAATTTCCAGGAGAGAGATGCAGGGAGAGCTATATGTCTAAAGTAAAGCAAAATTATTATTAATTAATTAATATTAAGCACTTAAAATCCTAATGGGATTTTAAGGGATAGATAGACAGAGTTTCATGTTTATACGCAATCGTCAAGTCATGGTTTGACGACTGCGTATAAGCATGAAACCGACTTGAGTGTTGACTTCAATGCCCATTTTACATACGCTGTATCCAATATTGAGCACTTTTACCTATAAATACAATATATGTGTGTGTGTGTGTGTGTTACTTTCATATACACCTCTCATATTAACAAATTTTGCTCATTTCAATCAAGGGTTGTGTTTCATATTTTTCCAATTTTTGAAAAGATCCTTTACATCCAAATTATTCGAAAATTAAAAAAAAAAGCTTAAACCTTGCTGACTGAATTTCAGAAAACTTGTTTAAATGAATTCTTGCTTCCTCAAGAGATACGTGTGCATTTTTGCATTAATCAGAACAGCTGACAATAATTAATCTTTATGA